CACAGAGACAAGATTCACTCATGGCCTCCCCAGTGGGCCTTTGGCTCAGATTTCCTGGCCCACCTCAGGCCCGCCCAGTCCATATCTCAGGGCGGGGCCCTGAAGGCGCAGGGCATGAACCTGCCATGGGTGGGATGATTCTTCTCAGCAGGCAAGTTTGGGAAATGAAGATCCACAAATCCCCATTCAGTCAGCTCTCCTAGGCTTGGGAGTGGCCTGGGCCTCAGCCCCAGTCTTCTACCCCACCCACTGTGCTTTTCCCAGGCTCCCAGGCATCCCCTTTTCAAAGGATTTTTGGGTCACAGGCCTCAGCTGGTCCTGAGCCCTTCCGACTGCCTCTCTGGGACTTCCCCCACCAACCAGGGCTGCCCCAAAGCCTCCTCCGAAGGCTTTCCCTAGGGTGGCTCTCCTCAATCATCCTGTCACCTCTTTCTTTCCCAAGCTCTTCCAAGGCTCTTAATGGCCTTTGGGAGGTCTCACATAGAAGGGCTGGAAAAGGGCTCATTAGCCCAGATGAGCTGTTCTCAAAGCATGATCCAGAGCCCCTGAGACCCTTTCAGGGGTCCTCAAGGTCAAAACTATTTTCATAATACTGACACTTTCTTTGTGAGTGTGTGTTGGTGACTTTTAAATTTTCATTCTCTCAGGAGTTTTCCAGAGACTACTGGCATGGGTGAAAGATCACCTTGATGGCTAACGGAACGTATGCATCTGTAATCTTGTGTTTTATAACTTTTCTCAGTCTTAATTTCTAATACGATAAATGTGGATACATACAATCCACAAAGTTATTTGGGGTCCTCAATAACTTTTAAGGCTGTAGGCCGGGCGTGGTGGCTCACACCTGTAATCCCAGCACTTTGGGAGGCCAAGGCAGGTGGATCATCTGAGGTTGGGAGTTTGAGACCAGCCTGACCAACAGGGAGAAACCACATCTCTACTAAAAATACAAAATTAGCTGGGCATGGTGGCGCATGCCTGTAATCCCAGTTACTCAGGAGGCTGAGGCAGAAGAATCGCTTGAACCCGGGAGGCGGAGGTTGAGGTGAGCCCAAGATCGCGCCACTGCACTCCAGTCTGGGCAACAAGAGCAAAACTCCTTCTCAAAAAAACAAAAACAAAAAACAAAACAAAACAAAACAAATAAAAACAGTGTAGAGGGATCCTAAGATCAAAAAGTTTGAGAACCACTGACCCAGATGAAGCTCTAATTGATGAGAATTACTAATGTGCTATATGAGTGGGGGCTGCCTATGGAGGGGGAGGAGATGGGGAGAAAAGAAAGAGCTGGGGGAAGGGGAATGGGGAGAGAGGAGGAGGGAGAAAGGGCAGAAGGGGAAGGAAGAAGACCAGGAGAGAGGTGGAACAGGAAGAGGAGATGAGGAAAGGAGGAAGACTGAGAAGGGTTAGAAAAAGGAGTCTGGATGAATGAGAAGGAGAGGAGGAGGGGGCAGAGGAGAGGAAAGAGGAGGAGTTGGGAAGGAGAGAGAGGGATGAAGGAGGCA